AAATGAATGCCGGCAATTATATGACTAGCTAATAAATATAATTTCATGGTATTCTGTAGATATCCCAAAGTGTTAATTATAACAGGAGCAGTTAAATTCTTTAGAGCAGTTAAATTCTTTGGCTATGAAAGCATAGCAGTTTTTAATAGGTGTATCACCTGGTAACCTTGAGCATTATTAAATATATGGAGACTGAAAGACATGGTAGAAGCAATGGAAAAGTCTGGCCAGACTGGGTAATTTGTTTTAGACCTAAGGAGAAATCTATTAACCATTTCTTCTATAGACCAATTTGATTAAGAAGTAGGACAAGCTGTTCTTTCATTACTTACCAAAACCATACTGCACTTTATATCAATTATTTGGCTGTCTGCAGCACACAGATTAGAATAAAGGCCTTTCTTAGTGTTTGTGCATGTTGTGGATTGCTGATTAGTAATTAGAGTGCTGAATGAAGGAAATTAGGCTAAAACTGAATGGGAACGAGAAAGTCTTAATTCCGCGATACAGATGTGAGAAACAGATTGCCTGGAGCAGCCCATCCGACACAGTGACATTGTACATAACCATGGAGTGTTCGCCTCCCATGGAAAACTCGGGCCCAATGCCTTGGAGATGGTTTCCGCTCCCATGCCTTGTGATGTAGCTGTATGGGTATTAATTTAGTGAAATATCCTGTCTGCCAGGTGTGGGAACTAGCTGATTTTATTGTAATACCAGATCATTACTTAATTCATATGCAACAGAGTGCAGCACATGGAAAGCATTATAAATCTATTTACAATGTGGCTGGTCTGATGATAACATTGTATTAAATTCCCAGGTGAGGCAATTTAAGCAATTGCTTTGCCATGTGCACTCCTTGGAAATTAAATTCTCATATATGCTTTAGTAATAAACCAGCTTCATTGTTATGCTCATGCTAGTGGTGGGCCGTAGAATCCTCATTCTGGCTATGTATACCCCGTTTCCCATGTAGAATCACACAGGAGGCGGTATCCCAGATCACAGCTCTTCATTAGTTTAAGCTAAGTTAATTTTCATTTTGTTTCTAGTTGAGCAGTGCCTGTCCTGGAATACGTGCGGTTCAGTTGGGAAATGTTTAAGGCTTGGGTCAAGTCGATAGATTGTTTTAAGCCAACTTGCCAGATAGAACTGAGCAAGGATATCTGTTTGAACTTGGCTTTAAGGAAATCAGCCACTCAGTATGCAAAAGTTCTGTTCATATACCAAGTGAAAACTGCTTGGAATCTGAAATTCTCACTTTTATAACCAAAGGCTCACTTCAGTCATCAGTTTAAAATAGCCATTGAGTAACTTAGTGCATCTAACTTCTTAGGGATGACACTCAGTTGTTAATTTGTCTTTTTTTTTTTATAGTTCATCTATGGTCTGTAGATTTTTCTGTCCAATTGTGTCTAGTTCACCTAAGTACAAGTTAGAAGGAATAAGCTTTACACAAACACAACTAAAAGTGAGGAATGCTCTTGTATTTAACATTGTGTGAATGTGTGCGGCAAATATTGTCACTTGAAGCTTTTCCACCCTTATGGTACAGACCCCAAATTGCAATAGATTACAAACTGCACAGAGCTTCTGTCTTCTCCAGAAGCCACATATAAAGCGCCAGTAGACAGTAGTAACTGACAACTAAGACTAAAAATGTTGACAATTTCTTGATTTGCCTGGTTAGCTTATGTATAGAAGTCATTAACTATTTATAAAATGCATTATGAATTGGGTTCCTTCAAACTGTAGCTGAGCGTGTGACATTTCCAGCTCAAATTCTCATGCTTGCATTTGGCTAAAGTACAGATTTTATATAGTTGACAATAAAGTAAAATTATTTTAGGTAGTTTATCAAGATACAGGAGATGTTGCAGTTTCATTAACTTTGAATCTTCCCAATTACATAGTAGTTAGTAAGGTAGAGTGAGGTTTTTAAGAGTTCCACAAACGGTGAAAAAAATTATTGATTTTTGGAGGAAAATTATCCATAAAATAAGCAGTTTGTTACTGAAAGGAATGTACTTTTTTTTTTTTTTTGGTATTTAATTAGTTTAATGATGATCCTGCAGGCCAAATTATGGTTGATTGCAATCCTCTTACCATTTCAAACCATAAAAAATTAGGAGAAAATACCAATGCCCGGCATTTAAATATAGTTCAGAATACAACAAAGTCTTGATTTTTAAAACATTTTGTAAAATGGTACACAAGTGTAAAGAGTTCCGTTTCCAGCACTGGTTGTATCATTTTCATGAGGAGCTATTTCTGATACTCGAAACGAGTTATCTTTTCATTTAGCAGAAGTCAGTCCTATCTGGGAACATTCTGTAAACTCAGCATATCATTTGCTTAATTGCATCCAGAAAGCCATCCAAATGACCGTTTTTTGCCATCCCAATGGTAGAGAATGACATTTATCGGGACTACCCTTCAGCTGTGGATAAACCCCTCCACCTTCCTCTGTTGCTGAGCGTGTACACTCTTAATTGCTGGTTTCCAAAAGCAATGGATTCTAACCCAAACAGGATGAGATATTTAGGGATACGCGCTTGTAAGGTTCTTCTTTTGAAGTATAGTATATGAAGATAGGAATAAAATGTAATTGAACAATCTATGCCGATTTGTTGGTGTTTTGGTGAAAAAAGGGAAAAACAAAAACAATCGCCATATGATATTCTTGCATACTGAGGAACGTTTTAGTCTCCCATAGTGATGAAATGAATAATTAAAAAGGCAGCTCTGATACCACAGTCTGTTTAAAGGTTCTCATTTCCTTTAATGCTGTAAAATGCTTTGGCTTAGGTAGTTTGAAACTACTGTGGTGGGGATCTCCATATGGGCAAAAAAGAAAGGTTCGGCTTGATCTAAATATTGTAGTAAGGCCATGAAGTATACTGTCCTTGTAACTTACATTTTTTCAGTACAATTCTGTATGAAGTTAATAGAAACAGCTAGTTAATAGCAGCTTCAGTAAATACAGTGAGAGGAGCAGGTTTTGTTAATATGCTCTTTGTGGTAGTAAGAAGTCTGGCATGTTCACAAGGGAATGAATTGGGTCCCTCCTGTATTGTTGAGATGTCTGATATAGATGCCATTACTGACCTCAGGCTAATGATGTAACTTTCCTACTCGGTCCTCTCTGCAGCACTGTTGGTTTTAGTTATCTACCTACAGACTTATTGTATTTGCCAAGGTATAAGACAGACATTTGTAGCAGGGAAGGCAAGCTTGGGGTGGAGACTCAGGGCAGGGATGGGATGCCATCATCCACTTTATACTGAAACATTTTGCATTTTCTTTGTATGTTTTTCCTGAGTGTATTCCAGAGGGTAATAAAATGATGAGGAAATTTTGTGTGCTGGAATGAGCACTGAGCTATGAGTCAGGACCCCAGGGTTCTAGTCTCAGTTTAACCAAAGCTACCTTTAGAACTCCATGAGGCTGGTTTTTTGCTTTTTTCCCCTAAAAAATAAAGGAGTGTCTAGATTTGTTTATTTTTACTTATACTCCATTCAGCCCTTTTCAGTTGGGTTCTGCCAGAGAGTTAAGCTCTAATGCCCTAAAGCTTCTGATCTATGTAATAAATTAAATTCTCTCTTATGTATCATTCTTGAGAGAATTCAGAAAAATAGTTACTGAAATAATTTTTGTGTTTTGTGGCTCAGATAACCACAGTTGAGAAAGGCAGCAACTTTAAAATGATTTAAAATCTACTGTTTTTGTCTTGTCAAAAGTCCTTTTAAATTCTAATATAATACAAGTTTATGTTTAAGATATTAAGATATTAAGCAGTGTTCTCATTCGCTAGTTTAGAAGTCTAATTAAAAATCTTGTTGACTTCTGTTCCTGGATAAGGGATAGTCCTTTTAAACTGCAATCATTTTTCAGATCACAGTTGGACAGGTAGGAAATTTTAACTTCTCAACTGTAGACCCCAAGTGAGAAAAAGATCACCGTTTTCCAAAGGCCATTTTAAAATCAACTGTTCTTGCTTAGTTAGCTCAGAAGCAGAAAAGGCAACAAAATAGCCCATAAATCTGCATCTGGGTTGAAGCAGTGATGCCGAAGTAGCATCCAAGGACTGCACTCGAGCTTCACAACTACTCTTCTGAGCCTTTCAGCTTTCCCAAGTGTGTGTAATTTAGATAATTCATGAATCGCTTGCAGACATGTCCCTCTGACTTTACAGGTAAAGGTAGACTTCTTGTAAAACAGAATTTCAGTGTGCCTTGACTCAGAGCCCACTTGTCTCTTATTTACTGGGATTGTGAGAAGTTGACTCATAGCCTACTTGCTTTTATTTACAAGGATTGGGAAATTTAATTCGTTTTACCAGACACACACACACACACACACACACACACACACTCTCCCATACTTTTCCCTAGGCCATTATTTATAGAGGACTTAGAGACGTTTAAATTATTGTTTGGAAATGGGCTGGGCTTTTAAATTTCATCTCTTTTCGGTTAGTAACATCACAATAATGAAATGTAGATGTGCAATTTTCCAAGCATTCCAGTGTACATATGCAGATATAATATTATCCTAGAATTAGAGATTTTAAAAGACCTATATTGTAAAATCCGTTTCCTGTCATAATATTAAAGGACCTCATATACCTTGTTTTAATTGCAACCTGGTGAGTTTTGCAGGTATACAGCTATTTAGCTGTATTTCCTTCAGCTTAGTGTTCTTACTTGAATGACTGTGAATGGAATAATATACCAGGTCCGATCCATTTTGATTATTAACGGAGTACTTACACAGTGCAGTTTTCTTTCACTGTTGGCATCTGAAAACCTTCTAATCTACATTACACTTCTCAAGTTCAAGAACTTTACACAACTTTGGTTTGCAGATTTTAGCAAATAGGTTTCCATTAGGGGGCTCTCGAGGTTTGAGATGATCAGCCTTGATACCAACAAGGATTCGAAGCCGTTACTTTCTAACGTTCCTCTCGCTCTCTCCCTTTTTGTTTTGTTTTCTAGAAAAGGTCACGGATCGCCTACAGTGACGAAGTACGCAATGAGCTCCTGGGGGACGACGGGAACTCCTCGGAGAACCAGGTAGCATGCTAATCAGGCAGGCCCGGTGGGTGGCTGCGGGGCGAGGCAGGTCGCCGCACACTGGGCTCTCAAGCTGCTCCTTAACAGCATTAGCAGCAACTCATGTGGAAGTGATACTGTTTAATGCAAAGCTGGAGTCTTAATCAACTTCAAAATGTTTCTTGGAGATCTTACATTTAACCCTTTACCTTGGGATCACTGTCTGCTATCTTTTAAAAAAATCTTTTCTTCTCGTTTCTTTATTATTTGGTACTTAAGGAGTAACTTGAAACACACTGTTTGCAGACAAAGCCAAGGTCTTCACCTCAAACACATGTAAAAGGAGTAAAAAAGTACACAATGCAGCTTTGATAATAATGCAGTATAATGAAATCAACGCTTGCAGCAAAACAAATGAAACTGAGCCTTCAAAATTCAACTGGGCATCTCAGTCGCCTATTGTGGATGCCTTAAAAATACATTCAATAAAATGCAGATGGTAAGTACCAGTGTGAAACTTGGATCCTCAGATAGAGGCACTGCTTCTGTCAAATAATAAAAATAATAATAATGACAGGAAAAGTCGTTGTGCAGTTTTAGATCTGCATAAGCAAAAAAATAAGGTACAATTTCATCTTAAAAGGGCCTATAACTTGGCTGTCGATTCTCATTGGGTCACCTAGTAGCGTCATGAGTCCAATTAATGTCCCACTTCTTTTCTTTGAATTAGTACTGCAGATTTCGTTAATTCATAAAGATAATATATGATTTTTAAAAAAGTATTTCAGGAACCTCAGTGCAGAGATAA